AATTAGGTACTCAGCAATGCAATTTACAAGAGTGTGGAACACCGTGTGATTGTGAATTCAGCTAAAGATCGTGTGTCCCTGGCTTTCTTCTATAACCCTAAGAGTGATCTGCTGATCGAGCCGGCAAAGCAGCTGGTGACAGAGGAGCGGCCAGCGCTGTATATGCCTATGACTTTTGATGAGTACAGACTTTACATCAGGACAAAGGGTCTCAAAGGAAAGGAACAAGTTGAATCCTTGAAGTCCCCAACTAGTGTACTCATGGGCAATGCTTGCATCTAATAAAATAATTAATCATTCAATAAAAATATTTAATTTCCCAAGTTTTTTTTTTTTTATTGAATGTTGGGGACTCGAACCTCACATCTATTAAACTTAGCATGAGAAGTCTTTTATAAAAAAAAAAAAGTGATCATTAGGTTACGAAGACATTCTCTTAATTTCCCAAGTATTAATTGCATGAGAGTGTGAAATTATTATAATATATGCAATAATTTATAAAGGGGATTTATGTCATATATAATAAAAGTTCCTTTTTCATTTGGAAGTAGGTTTTTTTTTCTTTTTCATAAGTAAAAAGAATTGCATTCATAATATAAATTTTTTTAATAACTCACAAAAAAATTATTAGGAGATAGATTATAAAAATATTTTATATTCAATTCTACTTGAATCATTACTATAGGATTTTTATATAATATAATAAAATAATAAAAAAAATATAAGAACCACTTGAGAATATCAATCTTGATAACTAATCAATGAAACCACTTAAGAAGATTAACATTGCGTCATATCACGCTTTCCAAATCTACTAGAGAAATATTTTCAAATTTAATATCATAGAAGACTAATAAACAGAACACATTATAAAAACCAATGAATAGCAATTAAATCTCCATTAAAAACCCAAAGAGAATAAAGATTCTTATAGAAAAACTAAAGAAAAAAAAACCTTTAAGGTAAAACAACTACATAAGTCATAGGGTGATAGAGCATACCTAGAAAGATCA